ATATGATGGAACATCATTTGAAAAAAGACATACATAAGCATTTAATTGCATGCTTCACAAATTCTCCATGTTTTGTACAAATGGTTTTATACAGAGCATGGAATTATAACACCAGTTTTTGCTCAGCACAGGTGCAGCATTCTTCAGATTATTAAGAGAAAGTTGACAAAAAAACAACACTTTGACATCTGGTCATTTTCAGCTCCTTGAACAGTTGTCTGCAGTCTTTCACTTTGGTTTTTTTAATTCGTTCTCTCCTTTTCACTTTTCTTGGCAAGTCTTGATCGTGAATGGGGTGGCAGGATAGCTGCTCATCTTATTTCCACAGCTTTAAGACTGAGTCTGTGTTCATTGTCACAACTTTTTTGCTTTTGTTGAACTGTGGCAGACTTCCATGAACATGCACTTCCTGTATGTTCCCTTAAAGCAAGTTCAGCTCTCTGTTTTTTAACTTGCTTCTAATTTTAGGCAGTTAAGGACACTTTAGTTTATTGGTAGATATTTTTGCTTGTTTAAGATGCTGTTCTGTCAGAGAATAACACAAAATATTCATCATTTACATCTTTAAAAAAAGCAACGCTCTATGTTTAAACATGTATATAATATTAAAATCTTTCTATGTAAATGGAAAAGAAGTCCATATTACAAGTATTTGTCCATTTCTTCTCCCCTTACAACTAATGCAATGTGGATAATTAGGGAATTTCACTCTAAAACTATACATTTTTAAGATGTTGTTATCCTGGACCAAATAATGAGTGTTCCTGGCTTGTTATTTCAAACTTTTTAAGAATTACTTTAATTCACAATATAATAGCAGCAATGGAAATAATTGAATGGTCGTAGTGTCCTATCTTTGAGGAATTCTGGAGTTAGTTTCCTTTAAAATGGAGAATATAGACTTGGCATTAATTATAAAATGTAAAGCAAATTTAAAGTGCAAATAAACATGTGTTTTTTCTTTGCTTAGTATAAAAGAGCTAAGAGAGACAACATTTTTTTTTTTCAAAAAATCTAGACTAATGATTAACATAATTTTTTTTAATCACCAAATAAAAAATGGCTTTTCACTTATGTTATTTCATAATGCATACAATTGTGAAATTTGGCTTTTGAATTTTTTATAATTGTTTCCAATAGAGCGAAGTGATACATACTATATCTGATGCTAACAGAGAAACAGACAAAATATAAAATGGAAAATGCAGCTAAAAAGTAATAAAAACAAGAAGCAGACAAAGAAAACCTTTCCATGTTTTTTATTGATATTTAATCTTTTATAATCTTTTACCTTTGGTCGTATTCTACTGAAGTGAGGCTAACAGTAATTAATATTCATCATTTTCATTATCATTATTTCAGTAAACATTGGCTGTGTCAGAATGTCTGCCCTAATCACTATATAGGGCAGTATATAGTGAAAAAGTGGTGGATTCGAAATTTCCCACAATGCATCTTGAAAAGCAGAAAATCCTGTCACTAGACGAGCAGATATATCCCGAAGTGCTTTGCACAGAGAGCTCTCCTTGCAAAGCATTATGGGATTTGCTGTCACAATGGCCCGCTGTCTTCATAGGCTCTCACTACCCGACGGCGGTGACTGATTACAAAGCACAGGCACCGCAGAGTGGAGGCAGAGTTACATGACCAACAGGGAGCGAAAAGTACCGATCAACGGTAAGTTAACTAAGTTCACAACAAAGTCTACTATATAGTCCCCACCCTATATAGTGATGGGGATCCAGGGGTTAGAGTGGATGGCCGGATCATAGCCAGTATCTTCATTGAATGCCTGCTGATGGTGGTCAGAGGGCCCGGTGGCACCTGTGTATGACAGCCTCGTGTCTGTCAATGAGCCCCAGGACAGGTGTGGCTACAATGTAGCACGCCAACATCAGCATGTGAATGATAGTATGAATGGGTGAATGACTGGATGTCATTTAAAGTGCTTTGATCAAGTCTCCTAACATGAAAAAGTGCTATAAAAGTACAGGCTATTTATTCCAGCCATATCTATGGCTTAGATATTGGTCTTTCTTTTATGACCAATCTCAACCTCCCAGTGGCAGACACAATTTACACATTTAAATACTTTGGAAAGACCCTGTTTGCGCGTCTTTCCTTTTGCACAAGCAGTCTTTGTAGATCATCCGCAACACACTCACTTCCATTTTTTCCCTCACAACTTAGTGCTCCCTATTTAGAATCTTTGAAGATCAGCCCCTTAATCAGCTGCATTTCCTCACTATCAGATATGTGCATTACACATTGGAATATGATAAGAAAGGGTAAACTTGAAACATGATAATAGATGAAAATTTTATTTGGGAAAAAAAACTGTCCATATAGATTTCATTGAGAAATACAAGTGCAGTATCTTTAAAAAGTCAAAGAATAAATCTGAAGTATAATTAACATTCTGATTTTTTATCTAAAATAATACAAGCGGACTCTTGATGCTGATAGAAACAATGGGTAATTCAAAACAGTTATGTCAAGTATGGAATTTCTCCACTTGCTGTAATTAAGGGCAAGAAATTAGCATATTATT